TAGCATGTGTTGTGTTAGTACAGACCACAAAAGAATGGCGATGACCAGAGCCGTAGCTAGCTTCTTTTGCGCCCGAGGCAAGAACAGAAAATTGTACCCCCCAACAGACCTGTGCGATATGTGATGTCATGCCCCCCGCCTCCCGGATGGCGGATTGCATGCACAGAATGCGCTGGTGGCCAAATCCAAAATAGCATAGAAATGTGTTTCGTTTGGCGAAACCAATAACAATTTTTTTAGTTTCCATTTATTTCATCCAAAACATTTTTTTAGTCTTTGCATGTGTGGTGGTGGTGGTGGTGGGGGTGTTTTTTTAAATTAATTTTTTATTCTTATTCTTTTTTCACTGTTGGGGGGGCCTTCAGGGAAATATTAGGGGTCTAAACAGATTCCCTCACATTTCCCTTTTGAAATAGAAAAAGAGATTGAGGACACTCTGCTCATACAGGTGGGGGAGAGCAGCAGGGATCCATGGCGAAGCTGTGTTGGCTACCTGGCACCCCTGTTGCCAATGACACCCCTGCTCGCTCGCCATGGCAACAGGGGCAAGGAGGCACAGCCAAGCCGGCCCTGACTGCACCCTCTCTCAGCTGCACCTGAGGTGAGTGCCTTACTCGCCCCATGGTAGCTACAGCCCTGATGGCCCTCATTACAAAGATGGTTTAAATGCAAAGATTTCTTTTCTTTATAAATTGATATTTCTAAACAGAGAAATAGATGTAGACTCAATTATGATGGCCATGGTGGACCTTGGCATTTGTGTCAAGAGATCCAGCATGTCCCCCAGAGATACAAGAGGCTGCTTGGAAAAAACAATCAAAAGAAATGTCTACATTTGGGTGGGTCATGCCTTTAGTTGTAGCAGTGATGTCTCATCGACATAGTGAATGTATAGGCTCCATTCTCCTAAACTGCCCACAGTATGGCACACTTCAAATTCATAATTAGCTCTGAATATAGGTTAATGATCACATTTTATAAATCAAATGAAACGTCTACCGCTGTAAAGTTCTGCTGCGATTTCCTGCTCTTTCTGCAACGTCTGTGTGGGCGTTGGAAGATTTTCTAATACACAGACAGCTTTGAATAGAATTCCATACGTGAAAACGTAAAAAAATAAATGTTACCAAGAATCACAGTTGTCAGGTAATCATATTCGTAAATGGTATAGCACACAGGTAGGCTATTTTGGCACCCCGGTTGTTGTGCAACCACAAATCCCATCGTGGCTCTGCCTTTAGGAGTCATGCCTGTGGCTGTCAGTCTTGCAATGTCTCATGGACTTGTAGTTCCACAATAGTGAGGGTGCTGAGGTTGCCTACCGCTGGTGTAGCACAACTCAATAGGTGAGGCAGTATAAAAGCTTTAGATAACAATTAAAGACTTTACATAAATAAGGATTCTTGCACACAGCTGACTGTGGGCACACAATGTAAATTCTGGTGTATTTTATGTTGCATAAATACGCATGTGTATGGGTGCAGAACCTCAAGGCTGCCCATCTCAGCCCACGCAGCTGGTGTGAATGCAAAAATAATAACGACATAACGTATAATTATTAAATAACTTTTAAACATCAACAAAATGTAATGTTTATGGTCTACAAAATACTTGGGAGTTGTAGAAACATAAAACAAATTATCACATATAAGGCAAATGGTATCTAACCTGTTACCATGGGGAAGAATTTCTCCTTAAAGCGCTCAACCCTCTCCCCTATGTGGTTAGTAGACTGTCCCTTGGTATCATCACATATAACACAGGTCTGTGGAACCTGCATTAGATGTGATGGAATCAGCAGTCCTTAGACCACTGCAGCCCAGAGGGTGCCGGCAGGAGTAGGGATCAGGTAAGTAAAACAGCTTTTTTTGTCCCCTAGGTATACTTTATCACTTCACCCTTCAAGTACTGGTTTAGTCCCACTGCAAGGGTAACTTTTTGGTTTGCCCATTTAGGGCAATGTGGCAGCCCACCCCCTTGACTACCCAACTTCACATTTCTCTCCCCTTCTTCCACTGCAGCTGTTGCAAAGGACCTAGTATTTCTGGGCATGTGAGCATGTGAACCCCTCTCATGATGCAGTGCTCAGGCCTAGAGGCCAGTTGCTAGCTATAAACACTGCCATCTGATGTCATCATTGCTCCTTGTAAGCTCCAACACCAGCTGACACCTAGTATTTTGCAGTGGCTGCAATGGAGGAATGAGTGGCAGGGAAAACCTGTAAAACGAGGTGGACTTTAAAGAGACCCCAGCACTTTGTTCTGAATGGGCAAGGTGACAGGGTCCCTTTAACACAGCTGGCTTCCTGCACTAATCTTCTGAAAGGCAGTGCAAAAGAACAAGTTACATCTAGTTACACAAAGCATATACTCAGCAGAACAGCAAAAAGAGGTGGAATATTTGGCATGGCATGGCATTTTTGACATGTATACACTTTAGGTCCAGCCTATTGAGATGTACTGATGGCACACCTAACTGACAAATGTTTGAACGTTTGTATTGTGTATGGACAGGGAACAACACATCCTTTAAGAATAAACCCTAAATGTATTAATGAATGCTGTGAAATGTAACTCATCCCAGTCGTACAACATATTATGCAATTTAACAGCACAAATTATAACTTGGCACAAATTAAAAAAAAAGCAACTCAGTGCTTAAAAACGGATCTCTCGAAACCACCAACTGTAATTATCTTCAGTTTTTTCCTGGGAGCCAACATGTTATTTCAGTCCAATTTGTCACTTTCAGTCCATTTTGTCACTGTTAACATGATAGGAACCAAGAAATATGCATTCGTGTGTAATAATGTTTCAGCAAAAAAAAAAGGAATATTGATAAAATTCAGTAATAAAGAAAAAAGAAAAAAAGAAGCAGCCATATCGGCATAAAAATTTGGCACAAATGAAAAGGCAAGTAACTATCTAAGCAATGGCCAACCTCATCCTTAAAGGAGAACTATAAGGGTGAGTGCTTTTCACTCATCCTCATAGTTCTAGCCGACCTGTGACAATGAAACTGTCACAGGTCGGCTCAGTAGATCGGGAGGTGAGCGAACACATACCGGCATTCGCTCACTTCTCGACCCTGTCACGGCTCTCTGCCGTGACAGGGGAGGGGCTGGATTCCCCCCTCCCCGCTCCGATCCGCCAGCGCTGACTGGCGGAACGGACGGGGGAAGGGGCGGGTACAGCTGGCTCTGCCTCTAGATAGGCAGAGCCAGATGTCACTCACGCAGCTGGGCGGATCCAGACATAATTGTCGGGATCCGCTTCAGCTGCAGCGTCTCAGTATACCGCGAGCTGCGGCTCGCGGTATACTGACCTTAGGGTGACGGGAGGACGCTAGTTTGTGTACACAACGGAAATCAATTATATAAAATGGAGTAAAGAAAAAGAGGTGTTGCCTATAATTGGCCCAGCCAATAATATGCTTTCGTTTTCTAACAATCGGTGGAAGATAAAAGCTTGGTGCCGACTCATTTCTGTGGGTGAACAGGTTACATTTATCTGCGCCCATTTTTGTAAAGGAATCTTACTGAATCATGTCACGGGAGGACACGGGTTAGTCACAGTATCTTCTTTCTGTTGTGTAAGTTACCTTTAACCACACCTAAAATCCCTAGTTTTACAGCTATGATTCATGGATTCTAAAGAGG